TGAATTTCTTCCTCAACAATAAATCGGACATATGCCAATAGTAATGCTTCATTACTGGGTAACGTTGACTCGTCCAGTTGTATAGAAAAATGAGTTTTTTGCAGATGATTGCACAAAAAGCTTTCGATATCAGAGCTCATTTCATCAATGCGTCTTTGTACAGTATTGTTACTTAATGGAATTCTTTTTAGTACGTCAAATGGAGATTTGTGCAAAACAGTTTTTAAAACCTCTTCAACAGCGGGTAAAATTAATTGTTCTCCGATAGTGTGCGGTTTTCCAGATTTTGCTATAAGTAATGAGATATTGTAAGATGCCCGCAAGCCATCATCGTTACTTTGAGATGTTGAAGCGAACATACTGTGCATGGTGGGTCTCTTTCCATATTTTTCTTTCAATGTTTGAAAATATTTTAAATCTTTACCTATTTTATCAGTATGACACCTTTTTAGATGATCTTCGAGCTTTGATGGTTTCATAGAGTCATTGCTCAAAACTTTGTTGCATAATAGGCACATGGGCAATTGTTTGTCTGCCTCTGATGGAACAAAACCATATTTCAAATAATCGATACTATATTGTCGACATTTTTTCTTTGCTGTAGCCATGTTTCGTGTCAGTTACCTTACCTGTAAAAAAAATGTTTTAGTAACCAAGTTTTTTTCTGAATATAGGTATCACACCGCAGCCTTTGTCAGCACGCGGAAATAGAATTACGGCTTGTAAAGGGACCAACTAATAAACCGCTGAGACAAATACAGACGTTTTCACAAAACGGTATCAATTTTAAAGTACATAATTTACCACTAATTTTTAATAGTATAAATAAAATTGGTGTACTCAGTATCGAATACTGATCATATTTGTGTAGGAAAAAATAAAGTCGAAATCCCAAAATTGTCCATAAAAACGATAACTAACATTTTATTAAATCAATGAGTTCACGCGCTCCGTGTATTTGCGTATTTTTGTCTGCGGCTTCATTGTTAAAACGTGACAAACTGGCATCGAAGTCCAAGCCCCGCCCTTTTCCCGTCGCCCGCGCACCGCTCGCTCTTTCCGAAAAGGAATAGTTTTGATAAAATAGTTACTTCAAAACCAATTTAAAATGATTATGAAATTACTGTTTTATAAAATTAGTAGTTATTTGCAAGAAAAATTACAAAATTAATTGCTCTGCAATATTGCTTATTCGGCCTTTTTAGAGAGGCAGTGTTTCTCTCGTGAAAAAACAATTGAATAAAACATGCTGTGTTTGTCTTCAAATCGAAAGAGGACAATTAAAATATCTGTAAGTTACTAAGTTACCTATCTATACAGGCCGTTGTGATCAACCGACTAGTACACGTAAACAAAATACTTAAGTACTATAACAAAAAAAGGTAGGTTACTTACTTTTCTCCGGCACTAGCAAACACAGATATAAATTTTCTCACAACTTTTTTCCAAATTCCGCCTTTTTTCGAAATTCCGGAAACAAATGAATGCGTTTGCCTTTGGCATCAAGTATTTATAGTGGTGATCAAGTTCATGTCTGAACAAGCATTAAGCATTGTCGGGCGGATAGCGCTTTGCAAGTCTGTACACGAAATTGTACGTAATATCGAATACGCAAGTTTGGACAAGTAACAGTCGCTTGCCTTATTAAAATATTATCTGCTTAGATAGGTACTTAAAACAATGTAGGTAGGCCCTTATAAAAACTATGCTTACATTTTTGCTCTTTACTATCAAAAGCAGATAAATTTTCGTGGACCCCCATTAACATCTTATGGACCCCCATTTTTTGTTCACGCCTACGTAGACCCCCAGCAAGTCTCCCGTGGACCCCTGGGGGTCCACCTGGACCACTTTGGGAATCACTGCTCTAAACTATTAACTTTCTCTATTCTAAACTATTAACTTCTAAACTACACTACGAAATAAAGAGATCTAAAGAAAAATTGAAAAAGAGCAAAAGTGATTGCAAAAAATACCTTCAATTTTACTCTGTTGCATTGTTAACGTATCTTGCTTAGTTTTTGAGATGTGTTAAAAAAATAAAAAAAAAATTTTTTTCATTATTTTTAACTTTTTTCCAAATTTAGGCATTCTAAAACGATCGAACTTGCAGAGCCCATTGTTAGTAGCACTTTTAAAGCACTTTAAAAACGGTCATATTCATTTTCTTAAAAAAATGTGTTCTTTCGCCATAATTTTACGGTAAAAAGTTGCAATTTAGTTTTCAAAAAGAAAAAATTACATTTACAGAGTGATAACTCGGCTATAATTACACCTATAATAATCAGCAAAAAAATGAATCGTTTAATTACTCCAAAAGCTTCATTTTTGCTTAATATGAGTTTTGCGATAAAATTCAAGGTTTTCGAGTTATTTATAAAAAAATGGCAGAAAAACATGCAGTTTTTAGATGAAAAATCAACATTTTCAATCTTAAATAACTAGGAAAATATTAATTTTCTGAAAAAATGTTACAGAGCATTTTTTGCTTAGAATTCATCCCTTTATTGATTTTTGCAATTAAAATGGGTGGTTTATTTTTCACCCCTGAGAAGGGGTGGCATTCAGCCCCAGGGTGAAAACACACATCGCTACTATGTAACTTTTGTTTCTGACATATATCTCTATTCACTGTTAAAATTTCACGTCAATCGGTGCTGGTGTTCAGAATTCGGACCCTAAAATCCTCGCTTACTGGCATAAATTGCACATTCTCATAACCACTTTATCAGGGCTATCTCATAAATTTTTTTAGATTTTCAAATTAGCTGATAGGCCAACTTGATTTTTTTAAATACGGACCTGCATTAGTTATTTCAGGTTTTGAAAGAATTCGGTCTCCTGAATACAATAATGTGCCACACTAATTTTTTTTTGTTTCGGGCATTTAAACAAAATTTATTTAAACTAATTTAAAGTCAAGTCCTGCTCTGTTTCTTTTTAATATTTAATCTATTCATCGTTACAATATTGATGAGCTTTAAAACTTAACAATGACGTGGGGTAAAACATTGAATACGGAAAATCAAATACAATAAAATAAAATAATAAGAATTAATATAAAATAAATAATATAAATGTAATATAATATAAACAATCAAATCATTTCCCCGGAAGATGGATTGGAAATGGTGGAGCAGTATAATGGCCAGCGAGGTTCCTGAACCTGTCGCCAAGGGGCGGGGGCATTACTTGAGGGCATTTATCTAAGTAAAATCAATACAGCACAACATTTACAACAAAAGAGTACAAAATGCATTCGGAAGTATAAGAAGATCTGTTGAAAGGACTATACATAAAATTGAACGAAAAATAAATGTGCAATAGGGAGGGTCGTAACCCTTTCGAACATGTAGAGCATTAGAAACTTGTTTGAAGAAGTTGATATATTTATAACAACTTAAAATATTATGCACATTATTAGATCGTACATTGAGATTTCAAATTCACAATAAAAAGTTAAAAATAATATGTTTAAATAGCTGACCTAGATATTATTTATATGAATCTTTCAATTGCCTCGATTTTCCTTATTCATTGTTAATTACTGCTCATCAATATTGTTGCGATGAATATAATCAAGTTAAATAATTTAAAAATCCAGAGTCGGACTTGAAATTATTTTAAATAACAACACAGCCACACAAAATAAGAAAAGTGGGGTATGATTTTTTTTCCACATCGTTCTTGAGGTCGGCCATATGGGATCCGCAATCTTGAATTTTACCAATCCCACGTCAGATTCGCGATCAATGATCCATTTTGATTTGACTTCAGATTTGCGATCAGCGATTCAAAAAACTCCCATATACTGATTTGGTTCGGATCCGTGGTTTTTTGAAATTCGCGTCGGACATATTTAAACCGCCATTTTGAATTATGCGAATCCGACGTCAGATTCATGATCGGCGACCCAAAAAAAAACCTATGCGGATTTTGGTTAAGATCCGTGCGATTTTGGGAACTCGCATCTGCCATATTGGATCCGCCGTTTTGAATTCTGCTAATCTGATGTCAGATTCATGATCAGCGATCCGACTTGTGGTAGGTTTTTTGAGGTTAGATAAATATGAGACATGTTAGCTCAATTCAAATGGGGTGCTTTGAGTTTATCAGACCCATTTACATTAGGTTATAGTGTTATCAATAAAAAAAATGATTTTTTCCTACTACATTTTCCTGAATTTTTACAGATTTTCACCGAGTTTTTGAGGTTAGAAAAAAATGTGACGTGCTCAGCGTTGAAAAATACTATAGGATATGATGGGGTCTGGTAAAAAGCATACCCCACTTTTCTTTTGCTGTATGGCTGTGCAATTAAACAATTTTGTTGTATTAAAATATCCCAAACAAAAAAAATATAAAGTGTGGCATATCGTTGTATTCAGGAGACTGAATTCTTTCAAAACCTCATATAAAAAATGCAGGTCCGTATTTAAAAAAGTTAAGTTGGCCTATGTAACTCACAAATTATAAGCTAATTTAAGCATCTAAAAATACATTCAGATACTCCTGATAAAGTGGCTGTGAGAATGTGCAATTAGTTTTTTGATTTTCTAAAAAGCATCGACTGGAAAAAATACAATTTATTTTCATAAAAATCCGTTTTTCCCAAAAAACTCAGCAACCCTTGAAATTTTTGAAACTTTTTTGATAGCATGTTGGCGAACATCCCAAGGCGCAACTTTGCCCCAATTTAACCATCTTCGTATCTATTACGGTTTCCGAGATACCAAAGCTCGTACCTAGAATTTGTAGCACCCTGTATATCACCAGAACTAAGAAAAAAATAGTGAACACTTTAGTTCCTACTTGAATGATACAAAAAAAAATAGAAAAATAAAACGGAAGGTAGGTAATCTTATTACTAAAAACGGTAAAAAACGGTTTGGATCTAGTTCAAAAATGAAGATCGCTTTCATAATATATCTAAAATTATGGTGATATTCATTTCTAAGCCCACTTGTCGTAAATATTTCTTATCATATGTGCATACATACCTTTTTAAAATCCTTATTGATGATGATATTGGCTTTGTTTTTCAGATATGGACACGCCAACCCTGTCATGTTGAAAATTTCTACTATATCCTTAGCGGAAATACCGCATCGATCGGCTAGTACCAGACCTTCTGCCAGACCGACCAACGCAATTCCCCTCATCAACTGCAAAATGAGATACACTTTAGTAGCGACGCCCACTTCGCCGAGATACAGCGACGTCTTGCCCATCGCCTTGAAGCAAGATTGGCAATCGATAAAAAGACTTCTGTCGCCGGCGGTGAGGACCACCAGTGAGCCCTCTTCTGCCTCGTCACGACTGCCTTGCAATTGGGCTTCCAGATATCGTCCTCCTTTGCTAGTGATCTCGTCGCAGATCTCCTGTGACGTTTGCGAATCGATGCCTGTCATTTCGACGTAGCCTTTGCCGCCTAGAATGTCGTTACCCTCTTTCGTGACTGCGCAGTTGCCAAACACATTCTAAAAAAAATAATAGTAAATAATTAAGCGATAATATTTTTCTTCAAATATAGATATATTTCAATAATAAAGGATCTTTTTTACAAAAATCCATCTACACTTAGATGCAAAAAAAACGCAACGGAGAAATTTTTGGTCAATTTTTTTAAAGTGTTATATTTTTGTTATTTTAGCCCTATTTTTATAAATTTTCCAGCAAGCTGTATATATAATTAGGTTAACTTTAATTCGTAAACTCACTTTTTTGTAAACTTTAGTATTTGGCATATTATATAGGGTTAATCGAGGGGTTGGTTTTTTACCTTAACTTTAAAACACCCTGTACAATAATTTCGTGTATAAATTTTCCTAAAATATAATTTTACGGTGAGAACCATGTCTCCTGAGCATTTTGTTTTTTGGATCATGTCAATATAGTATATAGTTTTGTGGTTACTTGTTATTATATTATATAATAAATAATTATAATTATATAATAGAATAGTAAATATTACTAGTTGCCAACGCAATTTTAGGACATGATTTATGAAACTTTTTGAAGTGAAACTTCTTTATGGGCGTTAGTAAAAATTCAAGGCTGTGACATACGAGCTAGTTCTAACGAAACATGTTAACGGCTAGAAATACGTAGTGACGCGACGTGTATTTGTGATCAGTCCACGTGTTTATCAAAAATATTGATATCTTAATACAAATTTTGTAAAAGTGAATCAAATTATTACGAAAAAACCATTGGTTACACTAGTAAAAACTTGGTAAAAAACTATTTGTAACGCGTAAAAAACTATTGGTTACTGGTAGAAAATTATTTTTTACACGTATAAAACTATTTTTTACGCGTCAAAAACTTGTTGTTCCTGGTAAAAAAAAAATTACGGGTAAAAAACTATTTGTTACCCGTAAAAAACTATTTTTTACGCGTCAAAAACTATTTGTTTCTGTTATTCGTTAATTAATTGGTTCGCTAATTCGGTTTATTCGTTCATTTTTATGAGCGAAATGAACTTGCCACCAACAATTGCCAATTTTTTTAATTATAATTTTTTTTAAGTTATTTTTTAATATGACAAGGCTGAACTATATACTACTATGAACTGTCCATCATGTCCGACGTTTGGGAAATGCTTGGTAGCAGGGTTAGAGGTCTCGAAGCGGTACCAGCTTCATTAAATGAACTTCGGTTGGTGCTTAAAGAAGAATGGAAAAACAATGAAATATGATATATGCAGCTTCAGTGACAGTACGAACGGACAGTTATAGCTTCCAAGGGAGACAATACAAAGTATTAGGTTTTTTTTACAATTTTTTTTTCTGTTTGTATACTTGAGTATTACAGATGTTTTCTTTAATATTGTTGGTTCTGTTATTGTTATTAATGTATATTAAAATTAAAACCAGGACTGTATCGTTAGTGATTAACGTTTTTTTTTTAATTTAAGTATAGAGTATGTAATACAGCGCAATATGACGTTACGCCAAAACCATCTCGTCATATTAAAAAAATTACATCAAAAAGTAATGATAATTGAAAAAATTGCAAATTGATCGTGATCAGTTCATTTCGCTCTTAAACACTAATCAAAGCATGTATTGACATGAATCAAAAAACAAAATGCTCAAGAGTCATAGTTCTGACTAGTAGTGGGAACTATCGAATGAATACTATCGAAACATTCGATAGTTGCAATTCATTCGAATAATTCGATAGTTAGTAAGAAAACATTCGTTGAAAACTATTCGAATAAAAATTATCGAATAGATCCGTCATCTGCCTTGAAATATTGTATTCTAGTAATTCGGCAGCAAAAACCATTCATTTATAAAATTCATTCATTTATGAAATTCATTTATTCGTCAGGATCGATTATAATAAAATATTAACTGGATTTTAGTTGTCGCCCGGCGACGTAGGTTTTTTTCCGAGAAACCCGACAGCGGTCGGTGGCAATGCTATGAAAGAAGCCGGCATCTTTGATTTTTTGCGGAGTCAGATATAGATAAGGACACATTATTTTTTTATTGAGGTGCTAGTATTTACACAGAAAATACATTATGAAGGGCGCTGTTGCCATATTTTGGTATTAGTTAATATTAGCAAAGAATATTATTGTTTGGCTTTAGTTAGTTAGGGATAGTATGTCTATATATTCTGCATTCTTTTTTATTAATATTCTGTTGTTACACTGCAATAATACTTGTTATTTTGGATGCAGGAAAATGATTTTTAATGTTTTTAAGCAAAGACTGGTTTAATAAATAATAATAAGAGTAATAATTTGTTATACCTATTAACAACAAAATTTAAAATCATTTAATATAAATATTTTTTTAAGTAGTAGCAAAATATAAACAACAAATTAGATGTCAAAATTATTTATATTAGATTCTATTTAAAAATAATATAGTCTCTAAATTTTTTGTGTGTGGCAACGTTGGTTTATTAAATAATAATAATTACAGAACTAATTTGTTATATTAACAACAAATTTTAAAATCATGAAATATAAACATTTATTAATTTTCTAAGCATGCAGTGTAATGGAAGGAAAATATAAATAAAACATTAGAAATCAAAATTATTTATATTAGGTGCTTTATATTACTATTTAAAAATTATATTTACTTTTACTGGCATTTACTTTAAAAAATAAATGAAATATTTCTTCGCAAAAAACTACATGTAAGAGAATTAGCATAAACAAAATACAAACATCGTTAACTTTTTTTTTAATTGGCACGTGTAAAACTTTCATTTTAATTTTCTCACCCCATAGTTTGAGTTCGATAACCATTTACTTAACCACATTACTTAAATATGATTATTAAGTTCAACTAATTCATATTATTAAAACATCTAAAATACAAATATGTACTTTTAAAATTAATTTAAGTTCATCTCATCTCTCTTAAAAATTGCTACTTCTCAAAATTTCCCATTAAAAAATAGACCATATACCATATAAAATTAAATAATTGAAAGATCGGACTACGGAAAACCACACAACTTTTCGGAAAAATTTTGACCACCTGCACATGCACACAATCGTCAATAAATAAAATTAAAAAATAACTACTATTTTAGTATTTTAACTATTTTAGTAAACGCAAAAATAGCACAGTATTTATACGGTGAAGTTATAAAAATTTGGAAGAACTAATAATGCACTGACGCATACAAAAATCAAACGAATACTAAATTTCATTTATCAAAAGCATTCGATAGTCGTGGCTCAACGATAACCATTTTGTCGCACGGCGAGGTTGTCACATATGCTTTAGTATACAAATGAATGAATGATTTTATTCGAATAAAACCATTCGATAGTTGATATCATTCATTCATTAACCATTCGATAGTCTAATTCATTCGATAGTTCCCATCGCTAGTTCTGACCGTAAATTTATATTTTAGGAAAATTTACAAACGAAATTGTTGCAGAGGGTGTTTTAAAGTTGGGGTATAAATAACCCCTCGATTAACCCTGTATAATATGCCAAATACTAAAATTTATAAAAACTTAGTTTACGAATTAAAGTTGATATAATTATATACACTTTACCAAAAAAATCATGAAAGTAGGGCTAAAAATAACAAAAATATAACACTCTAAATTTGACTGAAAATTTCTCCTTTGCGTTTTTTTTGCATCTGAGTGTAGTTCCAAACTTTGCTGATGAGTATTTAAGGGTAAGTTAATAAAAAGCAACATCACAGTCAAGGTAACTATAATTCAGCCTGGATTTCTTTTGTTATTGTTGGTCATGTCAATTCAACATTGTCAGTAATATCTTTGTGTTTATTAGACTGTTAAATTTAATATATCTATTTCAGTACCATGAACAGAATAGCTTATACAAATTCAAACACTAATACGATGGTTGGGATAATGGGATATTAAAGACAGGCGCCAAGGATATTCATGTTGCAAATATATTGTAATATGTAGTTATTGTGTTACAAAGACTTGTCCACCTGCACCAGTGGCCCTTCGAGAATCAACTCTGGGAGAGGTAGTGCCAGTATTTAAATAAAGCAGTAGGTTTAATTATATTTTCGCCGAAAGATGACTGTGAAAAAATGGATTTTTGTGGATTACGTATTAGCAGTTTTCAGCTATGCTATGATAAAAAAATTGAGTTTCAAATGAAAATAATATCTAATTATTAAATCATGAGAAAGTAAACATGAACACAAGAGAAAAAAAAAAAAAACAGATAGGTAGCTTAAAAATTACATCAAATAACATCGACTAACCTCGAAACCAACTTAACTAAATTAGAAAAAAACTTAACATTCTCAATTAAAGATGCAAATTCCTATAAAAACATAACATAAAAATTGGCACCGGGAGGCACGTATAGCCGCCCATACTAAAATATGTTAATATCTCAAAAACTACGACTTTTGTTGCAAATATTATTCCTAATCTTAATTTGAAAACCTCGTTTTGCTAGCTACTGTAATTTTGGAGTTACGATTTTTTAAAATTTTTAACCCCCTCCCATACCCCATTACCAACCCCCCACTTCCACCAAAAACTAATGGCCAGATTCTCGGGTGCCACAGTATTTTTGTGCCAAATTTGGTTAAAATCGGTTTAGCGGTTTTTGAGTTATCGTGTTACAGACGGACAGACAGACAGACACCATGAAAATACTTTGTATTTAGGTCATTTATGACCCAAATAACTCATTTTGAGTAAAATTAAAAAAACTTTTATCCGATCTTAATAGCCTACCATACCTATTGGTATGGTCGGCTAAAAAATATCAAGAGAGCTAGAAAGTATCAAAAGTCTTTAGCACGTAACAAAAATATGTTTATAGTTGTTATTACCGAGTCCCGAAAGATCCGGGAACTAATAATTTCGAGTCCCGGTTCTTTGATGTCTCAAAAGAACCGGGAATTCCCGGTACTTTCGGTACCGGGATTTCCCGGTATTGGACCCTATATGGCATTCAACTTTAAACTAAAAAAACACATACTCGATTTTAATAATAAATTAACAGTTTTGAAGTACACAAACCTAAAAACGTTAATTTTCAATTGGCTGATGTGCCAGAAGAGTTCTTCAGAACAAAAAAAAATAATGACTAAAATTATGGTTTCCTATAATTTTTGTCATTTTCCTATTGTCTGTACTTTAATTTTGAATAGAAAAATTATTTACGAAAAGTTGATATTTTTATGTTAACAAAAAACCACAAGAAATCCATTTTTCCACTTTTTTGCATTGTTCTCTATGTCCAACACGAACTTTAGATTCGAATTGAGCACTCCAAAAACATAATAAATTGAAGAAATTAGAACTACCTCAAAACTCTTCCCCAAGGCTCTTTTGAGTACAATTATTTGACTAGACTACAACGAGATGTTAACGGCAATGCTTGTTTATTACTAATTACATATACTACTTACGTGTTTTGCAGAGGTGGGATCGAACGAACAACTAAAAACGATATCTGAGTGTTTCATCACATCACATGGAGCGATATGTATTTCGAGGGTACCCTTTGACATAGCATCTGCTTGTTCTTTCATAAGTTTGCTCTGCAATTAAAGAAATTCATGTTGATTAGTAAGTATTGCAAATTTATATTTTTTTATTTTCGAAGTGAAACTTCTTTACGCGTGATGGGAGTAAAAATTCAAGGCCGTGACACATCACGGCCTTGACATGACATAGTTTTATTCAGATTAACACAAGGTTTTACTATACAGACCGGACCACCGTAGTAGTAACATAGGCAGAACCGGACGAATTAGCGTATACCCGTCCGCCGGATAAAAAGCAGGCGAAAAATGCGATAAAATAAAAATTGGTAAATATGTGATAAGAATGTTACAGAATTTGTATTTATTCGTGTTTTAATAGCCAAAACGAATACACAGATTCTCGCGACAGTTCTCGTGTAAAATTTATTTTTTAAATAAAATAATGGATGTTTACGAAGTTCGTGAGGAAATTCAAATTGTAAAATGGTATTTTCAAAATAGATCTTATCGGGATATACAAACAATTTTTCCACAAACTTTTGTAAACAGGCCAATTCCATCTTTACCTACTATATCAAGACTTATTAATAATTTTGAAAGACATGGGTGCGTGTCCCCACAAAAACACAAAAAGCCTGATGTGTTGATTAATGAAGAACAGGAGTTAAAGCAAGTGTTTATATGTGCTACCGCGGATTAAAATCACACGTTTTCAAGTAATCAAATTGCTGAGATAACAGATTCTTCATCTAACACGGTTAAAAGAGTCCTTAAAAAGAATGGATACCGATCGTATAAAGCGCGCAAAACTCAAGAAATTTTCCATTTTCGGCGTATGGCGTTTTGTGAATCTGTAATGGAAAAGGCCAATTTAGATGAAAACTTTATTCGGCGTATAGTTTTCACCGACGTATCAAGTTTTCCTTTATTGAGTCGTCATAACCCTACACAAGTACGATATTGGTCTCGGGAAAATTTGCACAGATATTTTGAGGTACGCACGCAATATCCTCAAAAGCTAAATGTTTGGGGTGGTTTTATAGGGGAGCATATGATTGGTCCATTTTTTATAGAGGGTAATTTAACTGTTGCAAAGTATTTGGACTTGTTACAGCAGCAGATTTTCCCTAGAATTCGTGAGTTATTGGGAGAAAGATTCCACAATGTCTGGTTTCAACAAGATGGTTGCCCTGCCCACAATGCCCGTATTGTTCGAGAATATTTGAACAATACTTTTCCCAACCGTTTAATTAGTGGATATGGAACTATTTTGTGGCCCGCTAGATCACCAACCAGATCTTTCTCCCAATGATTTCTTTTTGTGGGGTTATGTAAAATCCAAAGTTTATGGTCATAATAGGGCTAATAATCTGGATGAGCTTTAAGTAAAAAATACGAGAGGCTTTCCAAACTATTAGCCCTAATATGTTAGCCAATGTCAGACGGGGATTTTACGACCGCCTAGACTTCTGTCTAGCACAAGAAGGTGTGACGGTGTGTGTCTTTTTGAACACTTGTTATAACTTTTTTTTATTTAGAGTAATATTTTAGTTTTTTTTGAGTTTAGAGAATTTATTTATTTTTAGTTTTGGCTTGTAAACACACTCAAATAATAAGTATTTTTATTTTAAATGTTACCTTAAGCGAAGGTAAACACCTAAAATGAAAATAATAAATACTCGGCACTCCTCGCGTCGTATTCCTAGTCTGTCACGACCGACCCGTCCAAGCACAACTGCAACTGCGTACTGCCTGACTAGCCGACTAGCCTGCAGTGAATCTCGAGTACGAACGCACGTAAATTCGTCCGGCAACTTGCTATGTTACTAGTAGCCTGGTCTTCTCTGTATAAATAAATGCCTTTTTTTGTGAAATTTTTTTACAATTTGTAGACAAAGGTAAAGTACACAAACATAAGAGAATACAAAACAAGTATACAAATTACATTGTCAGTCTTATTGTTTAAAATAAACATTTATAAATGTTTACAATATCAAAGAATAAAAAAATAAAAATAAGATTCAAATATTTAGTAAGTTTATACTAAATATAAATATAGTAATAGCAAACATTAGACCAGTGTTTACAAGGTCAAATTCGATTATCAAAATATAAGTCATTTACGGCGTAGAAAGCCTTGTCTAGTAAATAAGATTTCGATGCTTTGCGAAATGAAGAAAATTATGTCATGGATTTGATTTCAAATGGCAGGTGATTGTACAGGGTGGGTCAAATTCGACGCTTTTAAATGGAAACACCCTTTTCTATAGGAGCTAGACGAAAACTAATATCGGTGTCTGGAGCTCAATTTTCATCAAAAATATGATGGTGAAAACCGCACATCAATATCTGTTACTGTTTCGGAGTTACGGGGTGTTTTTCAAAAATGAGCATTTTTAACAAATCGCTGGAACTTTTTTGCTATAGAAAATTTTGTATTTCTATGAAAACATTTCCACAGCACCTTTTTACGTAGAATTTAATGGTATAAGTATAATTTTTTTAAAATTAATAATTTAAGAGTTATCAACAGAAAAATTGATTTTTTATTTGGGACACACTCTATATTTTTAATTAACTGAACATAATTTAAAATTACCTTTCCAAAAATATAGCACACTTGATATTTTGTTATAATTTCCTTCGAAATACAGAATTTTTAAAAGTTCGCCACTTTTAACTAGTAGGCTTTGGACCCCTTATTAAGTAACTTATTAGTAACTTGTTGCTCCAAGTGAAGCTAGTGTCGTCCGCAAAAAGACATATATACTTGATACGCTTTGACTGAACAAGTAAAACTGACAGGTAAGACGTTATGTGTAGACGGTGCTTAATAAAGCTTAAAAAAAACGTCGCGAAACAAAACAATTAAAAACAACAATAAAACCTGTATTTTATTAACAAATGTACGTAAACGCTTATGCTGAAGTTTGCCCGGAACATGCAAACACGTACGCAAGTTGATTATCTTGATGGCGTGTTGAATAATGTGCGGGACTAATTGTTTCTCACACCAAATTATTTATAAATTTGAAAGTTGGAAAAAAACCTATTCACTTATAGTCATAGATACACTAATCTAGAATTTTAGCAAATGTATTGCCCGTAGTGTATTAAAATAATGGATCAGGGAGAAACAGACAGAAGCACAAGGATAGTAAGGCCTTCATCCAAATGCCTAATTCTGATTCTCTCAGCAGGAATTAAGTAAGGAATAGTCCCTTGACAGGATAGCTGTTAAGCGTCTCCTGAACACGCTCATCCTGTATCATACATATATACATATATACATACACTAGCGTGTACCAGCGACTTCGTTCGCGTCGAATTAATCATTTGTAATGGTGATGATAAAGCAAAGCAGGAATTTTCATTAACATACAAACTGCATAAAATTTTCTTACATTTTTATGAGAAAAAACAATATGGCGATATTATTATATAACTTGGTAATATTTGAGGGGTAGTTTCATCTCGTTGGAATTTGACTTTCGAAAAATCCGTTTGCCAAAAATAAGCTTTTTACGTCAAGCAGTTTAAGCAGAATCGTAGTTTTTTAGAAATTACCCAACTTTTTGGAACACCCTGTATGATTTTTTAAAAAAAATCAAATTATGTAAAAAAAACAAATAAATTATGCTTGTCCAAGCGTTTTCCCAAAAGACTAACCGTTTTTTAAATAACAAAAATACTGTAATATTTGAGGGGTGGTTTCACCCTCTTGGAACTGGAATTTAGAAAAATCCTTTCTTATCGGACCTCTACACCCTAGAATCAACCTGTATGCCAAAATTGAGCTTCTTACGTTGAGTGGTTTGAGCAGGATCGTGATTAATCAGTATGTCAGTCACTTAAGGATTTTATATATTAGTATAGATACATACTGTTTGACCAGCGGATCTGAAGCTACGGAAGGAACGCGAGAAAAAAAAATCGATATTGCCACGTTTATCTATAAAATTGCAAAATTGCCAGACATGAACTATAAATTTAATATATTTTTATTATATATAATGTGTTTAGCATATATTCTGACGTATATTATTAAGGAATTTTAACGTAGTTCATATTGTTCGATATGTTTTATTTAATAACTTATTTCTTTCATTCTGTATAATCTGCTTATTATGGAAGATGAAGATTTTTCAACGATATCATTGGCAAACCGGCATCGCCGCGCATGGCCGCCTATTCATTGAACATGATTGGCGAGAGTACGTCACAGGATTTGTTACCACGCGGTTGCCATGGCTTTTACGCCTTTTCTATTCGCTTGCTTTATCCCCAACTTCACGGTCTCTTCTGAAAAGAGTAGGAATATTGAATACTATTGAAATATCCAGTGGCGGTGTCATTTTTTTGATCATTATTACTTTATTTCATTATTTTATACCGGTTATCCTAAACTTTATTCCTATATTTTTCGTATATTTGATAGTTAAGTTGTGTTTTATTGTTTTGTTATCTTGTTATAATGTTTTTCGTTCGTAGTTTTTAATTATTAATATCAAGTTTGATCGTATATTTGTGTTTTAAAATGAATAAATTTGTTAAGGGTAAGACGCTACATAGTCAGACAAGAGAAATAATAGCTAATTTATATAGGTAAGTTAATAATAACGTGGATGAAATCTCATTTGATTTATTTCCTTGTGTTCATAATAGGGTTTGCGATGAAGAAGCTACAGAGAGTTCGCTTAAGTTGCCGCTTAAACGTAAACTTGAGCGGATATTTTTTTATACCGGAGTTAGCGTATCGGCTATAAAAAAATTCACACAGAAGATAAAAAAAAGGCTGAAAACTAACCCCGATAAAATTATATCCAGCTCTGGAAAGAAACGACCACGTGAGACTGCTGTCGAAAAGCTCGACGACTTTTTCGAAGTGGTCAGGAATTTGATAGATTTTATCTCGAATTCAAACTCGTCCCCACAATTAGAAAGCTTTTGCAAAAATTGCAGGAAGAATCGAATTTTCCTTTTGCAGGGAAACGCTTAGGGGGTTATTAAAATCAAATGAATTTTTTTGGCGTAAATGTCGAAATAACAGATAA